CCGCCGTGGAGGTTTGCCCACCTGTGTGGGCAGCACACTGGGGGTCATCGTTTAGCTTTAAATCACCGCTCTAGGTTTCGTCTTGGCCCCGCGGTGCTCATAGGCTTGCTTGTAGGGCGGGTGCTTTGCTCGAAGGCAATTCGGCGAACTCCATGCTGCGCGCTGCTGGGGGGTTGTCGGGCGGCTTATTGCAAAGATAGGTTTGTTGGGGATGCTCTCTGCAAAGAGTCTCTCTAGTACTGGAGGGCCACATAATATCCAGGGTAGCTAGGGCTATTTTACAAAAAAGCGCAGCCCGCGTGAAAGGTCATTGTGTGGTTTGGTAATTGAGTAACAACCTAGGTGGACTAATTGTGTTTATGTGAGCATGGATTTAGTCCATAAGTACATATATGTGAGCAACATATGCCATGAAGGTTTTGAGATTTGCAAAGCTCACACGCCATGATGAAGGAGCTCATTTCAAATGAGACATGACATTAAGTCATGTGATCAAGGTGAGAAGATCAAACATGACTTGACTTGATGGACCGGTTGCAAGCGTGAAGGGCAAGTTGGAGGCTTTGAAGCGATGGACCGCATGGCGGTGAAGCTTAACAAGACTCAGCTCGATTGACCCCTGAAGTCAAGATCGATGAACCAATATGATTACGTAATGATATGAAGTGGATCATATCATTGTTGATTGTGTTGGTGCATGTGTTGCATCGATATTGGAGGAGATGGAATGGAATGCGCAAGGCAAAGGTATAACCTAGGGCATTTCATTTCACCGGTCATAGGTATGTAGAGAAGTTTATGATCGGGTTTAAGATCGATGGCCGTACTATCAAGAGGGGCAAACTTGTTTGCATATCGGTCATCTAGTGCCACTCGAGTGATCTAACTTTGCATCATCGCTAGGATTTAGTGGCGTGGCAAGTTGAGTGGCTAATCCTTTGGAAAATGATTGTGAAAATGCTAACACACATACACATGGTGGTGTACACTTGGTGATGTTGGCACATTTATAAAGGAGATGAAGTTGGAGTTGATGTGGATCAACTCGACGATGGAACAGAGGCGAGAAAGGTTCGAAACTCCACCCGCGGGAGTCACGAAGAGCAACTCTAGTAAAGTGTGTCATTGAGCTACCCTCATCTTGTGTTGCTTGTACGGTACCCTATTGAGGGTTTGGAGGGTGATGCCAATCAGCGCATGAACCTCCAAGTGAGCGGTCGACACAACGGGGCCTAGCGTGTTGGCAAGCACGTGAACATCGGGAAAAAATCATCGTGTCATCCTTGTATTCCCGTTGGTTTGCATCCTCGTTACAAAGCTTGTAATTACTTTCATATACATTGTGCTTGTGTAGTTGCTCTTATAACTAGTTAGCTTGTGTAGCTCACTAGTTACCTTCTTACTTGTGTAGCATAGAAGTAGCTCCCTTGCGTGGCTAATTTAGTTTGTGTAACATTGTTAGTCACATTGCTTAGTTTGTGTAGCTAAGTATTTGCGCTCTCTAATTTGGTATTGGTTGCTTTGTTATTGAGCATTGCTAGTGAGCTTAGTTGGCTTTATGCTTTAGCTTACTAGCATATGCAGGAGCTCCCTCATTGCTTGAAGTACTAGTGGCATAGGTTTGTATGACCTTCCTCCTAGAATTGATTAGGTGAGCTCTACCTAGCCCGGCACCTTTGTTGCTTAATTATGATCTTTGCAAAGTGCTAGAGAGCATAGATAGAGGGGTATAGTCTTGCCTAGATCGATAGTTTTAATTCCGCACTTGTTTCGATTAGCCGGCTCGATTAAGTTTTACAAATGACTATTCACCCCCCTCTAGTCGCCATCTCGTCCTTACACGTGGGCTCCCCCGCCTTGGGCCGCTGTTGGGCCAGCTGCCGCACGCGCCACGTCCGCGTGGGCCGCTGGGGCCGATATGGTTGTTGTCGGCCTCTTTTTCTTTTCTAGGTATTTTCTAATTTAGTTTCTAAGGCAAATTGTAAATTCAATATAAATTTGTGCAGTGGGCCAAAAATTGTGAAACCAATTTTTTTAAACTTCTAAAATCATGATCTATCTGCTAGTGTACTTGGTTCACGTGGTTCTAAAATATTTGACAGATGCTATAAATGTTTTAACATGCTCTAAAATTATTAAAGTTTGAACTTGTAGTGATTTTTTGTGGCAAAATAATGATAGTGTTAGCTTTGAAAATTTTACAGTAGCTTCACAATAATATTATATGCTTTCTGTAATTTTTGCAGCTCCAGAATAATTAGTTTGCTAGAATACCTATTAAGCCCTGGTTTGAAAATATATTAAATCAATAAAATGAATTAAGGAAATATCTGAGGATTTTATAGCTAAAATACTTATTTGGAAGTAATGCCTCACCCAACAACATGGATACGTAGCCTCGTACGTTAGTCGCTAGAACCAGCTCGTTAGTTTAGCAGGGTAATCGTATTTTAGAGTTGCGATTGTCGTGATCATTTACGTTTCTACTTTGCATCCACGTATATCATAATAGGAACAACGATGAATCAAGAAGTTGACCGAAGTAGCGAAAGTAGATGGTGACTTGATGATAATGCCACCATGATGAAAAACTAACTTGGTTATAATTTATCCAGGCAAGCCCCGGTGCATAACCCTTATTATTCTACACTATTATTTTATGCTTGTGCATTAAGTTTAAAGAGTTGAATGAAACCCACTTGCATATATATATATATATATATATCTTTATCCTATGAGTCTTATTAGTATGACAAGATTGTGTAGATTGCTATACTATAGGACTCTGGTAGAAGTCGAGTGATTGCCTGTCACTTGCGAGAGATAGGAAAGATATTATTGTTGTTATTATATTACTATCACATGGAATATATATGAATGATAATTGAAGACCGGACGGAATGGTTCTTTGGATCTGGACTTGGTTTGGCATTCAAGTGAGGCTCGGATTTCAGTTGTTCCGCCTGTGTCGGTTGAGGACCGTCCGTTACATCGGATTCTAGTCAGATCACAGACTTATTATCCTGAGCACATACTTACTTATGGGGACAGGAAGGCTCATTGCTCTCTTGTCATGGGTTCCGGCTCTTTTCAGACCGACTGATTGGAGGCGGGGATGGTGGAGGTCTAAGCACCACACTGAGTTCAGGACTCAGGTGTGGGGGCTTGGAGTCCAAGTTTTGATGGGGACCTGGACCCCTTGACAGGAGAGTGGTGGGTTGGTCTAGCTTGTGCCTCGGGTATAAACGAGACGTGTGTTTCAAGGTACCCAGCTGGGATACATTGGTTCGCGAATCGCCATGTAATACGGTACGGCTTGACTACGATCTAGCATCATAGTAAGAACTGGAATATGAAAGATGGTAAAATGATTCAGATTGCTTACCACCTGCTTAAAAGTAGCACATGTGCTTACATAGAATGGTTAGTTAATGAACAAATGATGACTGCTAATGAAATTGAATATAAGGATGCACGCTTAGTAATGCTTCCTGCAGATATAATAAAACCACAAGCCAGATAGCCTTGCATATCTTTGGAGTCTTTTTTTCTCCTAATGAGTAAGTCTTGCGGAGTACAATTGAGTACTCAAGGTTTGTTCTACCCTGTTGCAGGTGACAGGAACATGTGGAGCTGACACTTGTGTGTGGAAACCTCCTGGTGAGCTCAGCGAGGATTTCCTTAAGGTTGCGAGCATAGAGTTTATTTGAAACTTCCACCCAAAATGTTTTACAATGGAAAAACTTATAACCTATTATGATGTATATAACGGATCATCATGTTAATATTTAATTTGTCATTAAATGATTTTATTTTCGCTAAAACTCTGATAACATGGTTATATTCCGCTGTTATAAACAATAAATATTATACTCTGATGTTGCATGGAAAGTGATGTAAGAAATGACTAAAATATTGTAAGATTTATTCTCCCATTTATGATCTTGTTGAAAAATGTGGATTTTCGGGTTCTTTCATGGGGTGTGCTCGACAGAACTGTTTAAATTAGCTCACTCTTAGGGTGTTTAGCGTCTAATGAAAGACAAGCACCTCCGAAATTGAGTTATTTTAGACGATCCGGAGCTGCTGCTGATCGTCAAGGCGGAAGCTGACCTGTGGGCTCAAGCGGGGCCAAGAACTTAAGGAGTTTAGCATTGGGGGTTGCTTGCTATCCACCGAGATCTTCAATGTAATCTTCGTTTCAAACCCGGCCTAAGGCTGGTGCCTTCTAATGAACTATATTTCTCCTTAATGCAACGATACGTAATGCTTGTGTATTCGAGAAGAGGGGGAGGGGGGAGAGGAAATTGTAAAAGAAATGTGTGAGAAAAGAACAGCACAGAAGAAGGCCCGTGCGGGTACGCTCTCCCTGGGCCGAATAACCCAGACTGAGCCGGCCGGACGCATTCCCCGTTCCTTCACATTTGACCCCGCGTGTTTCTGTCCGTCTCTCTCCACCCTCTCGCTCTCCGACGAGGCGACGACTGGTGGGCCACCGCCGCCGCCGCCGCTGCACTACGCCAAGTTCTGAGACCTCCATCGCTCTCTTCGCCAGCGGCGAGTAACCACCAGGTATTCCCACCGCTTATCTTCCCTTCCTGCTGTGCGAAGCCGAGCGCCCGAACCCTAACCTAACGCTATTTGGCTATTTGATGTCTCCTAACTTCGAACTTTTTGCAAAAATTATCCGGTGTACATGTGTACATCCATGTCCCTTTTCTGGGTCTGCCTCTGCCCGCTTGAATCCAAATTTTTGTATGATGTTTAAGTCCTTTGACGATTGCCTCGCTGCAAGTCATGTGTTGCAATATCTATCCTGTGAAAAACCAAGAATATCTGTAATCAACCAAGAGAAACCAAAAAAATTAGATGATTGGTGGAAGTGGCTATTCTTCCTTTGCAACTAGTTGTGCCTTGTAGCTAGATCTAGATTGGTCCAACCAGAATACTCTAATGCTCTTGTATTGCTCTTTCTGATTTTCCCTTGGTCAGCTAAGGTCATGGCAGAGACGATAGATCTATCAGGGGATGGAGGTGTTCTTAAGACAGTAGTCCGGAAAGCAAAAGACGATGCTATAGCGCCATCTGAGAGCCTGCCCTTAGTTGATGGTATGGTACTACTGTATATATCTTGTGTTTTGAGCAAGCATTCCATAAGCAATATCGTTTATTACTTCTGTTTGATTGGACAATAGCCAGTAACTGAGTTTTGATATGCTCTACTATTTGTTAAGTGTTAACTCGTTGTAGTACTTGATTCACCTTCTCTGTCCTCAGCTAACTGCTGCATGCATTTTTTTTTATGTTGTAAAGTGAACACCTGCTGTTGCATATTGCCACTATTGACTGTAAAATAATTTCAAGATTTCAGATACTGTGTCCCGAATAAAGTCATACAAATATGAACATTTATCTTTTTACCTTGTCTATAGTTCATTATGAAGGTACACTTGCTGAGACTGGTGAAGTTTTTGATACCACCCATGAAGACAACTCTATTTTCTCATTTGAAGTTGGACAAGGGGCTGTCATCAAGGCATGGGATATAGCCTTAAGAACTATGAAGGTTTGTAAATGTTTGAGTTTCTGGTGTGGTCTTCACCATCTCTGTGTAACATGGTTGGGCATATCCAAAAATTGAAGGTTGGCGAGGTTGCAAAAATTACATGCAAGTCAGAATATGCATATGGAGCTGCAGGCTCACCACCAGAGATACCTCCTAAGTGAGTTCCTCTATCACACTATCTTTGAATTGGTAACTTGAGTTTCCCCAATTTAATAATGTTGGTAACTGTTGGTTCTTTGTCTATGTAGTGCAACACTTATTTTTGAGGTGGAGCTAGTAGCTTGTAGGCCGAGGAAAGGTTCAAGTGTGGGCAGTGTATCTGATGAGAAAGCCAGACTTGAGTAAGACATTTCCTAATGTTCCATCCTTAACATTTAGCACAGAAAAATTCAGTTATTATACGATTTAGCACAACTGCACATGTGTCCTCGAGTGAGCTCTTGGTGACAATGTAATATTAAGAGATAGAAATCAAAATGTTGTATCCACCTTGCAATCAAATATAGTTTGTTCATTTGATCAGAGTTCAAGAAGTATATAATGATCATAAAGTAATTAGATACATAAATCTGGGCAGGGAACTTAAGAAGCAACGAGAGCTAGCTGCTGCTACCAAAGAAGAAGAGAAAAAGAAGAGGGAGGAAGCAAAAGCTGCTGCAGCAGCCCGGGTACAAGCAAAGCTTGATGCGAAGAAGGGGAAGGGAAAAGGAAAGGGAAAATAGATTACGACGTTGCTGCTGACTATTGTAACCTAGAAAATAATTATGTGGGAGCATCCTGAAACTGCTTCGTCACTTGCTGGCTACTGTGCTTGATGTTTACCCTTTGCCCCTGTCTGGCATGTACTGATGTATCGAAAAGAGCTGAGTATAAATAATATTTGGTATCTATGTAGATCAAGAATCTTATCGTATGCATTACAGATTGGCGTGGCTGCTGATATGGGATAGCATGTCTGATTTGGGATGACATGTTGGTCAGTTCGTGTTCGTTAGACTAGCTGCATGTTTTGTACATGAATGTCAATTATTGGAACTGCAGGGTGTGTTAAAATAGTCCACATAGTAAATATTGGAACTGCGTAGTGTTAAAATAGTCTACATAGCTAGCCTTTCAGGGACCAGGATTCCCTATTTTCATTTACAGGGCAAATATGCACATTTACAAGGCAAATATGTACGTATGTCCAGACAGCATCCCCAGGGGTTAGGATTTACACGGAAACTCGCAAGTCAGGCGGCCCTCAATCAATAAGCTCTCCGGACGCGGACGGGGCAGAACGCACCAGTGTGTAGTGCTATATATAGCTCAAGCATGTAAAAGTACATCAGATGTCACATTTCATTATAAACAAATGTACACAAATAATCTGGGAAATTTGGTTTTCATGACCTTTGGCTACATTACATGGCTCTCAAACACATGAACTAACTTTACAACAGAATTGCGGTGCTTTTTTTTTTGGGTAAGAACAGACTACTCCAGATTACATGCGAGGCAGATTGAATTTTATCAAGTATGTGAAGAATGAAATAAAAAACATGGTTAAGAGTTCATGTCTCGACTCAGGATAGACACCTGGCGAGAGGCTGTGGTAGTCATCATCTCCTGCATCTTGCAGAGTTACAAGACCCTGACCTGCCCCAATTCAGAATCGTTCAGACCAAGCACGTTCTAGCAGCTTAATGAAAAATCCTTTCACAAATTACCAACTACCTATTGTGACTGTGCTGCTATCTTTTGTAATCACATTGGTGTAGATATCGGAATATCATAGGATGTACGGTACCGGAGGCCATTTCCAACAGTATTCAATACAGGGCAGAGCCAGCAAAATATGTTAGGCCCCAGAACCTGCGAACAACCAGGAAGCAGTGGAACATTAATAGAAAGTGATGCCAACCGTGGGTAAGATGAAAACAACTAAGGTAGTATACCATAAATGTGTTACTCCATGTTCTTTTTTGTTTGATGTTTTGGGTGCTGCAAAGTGATCATTTTTATTTGATGTTATAATATTTGAAGAAGAGTTATGCATATGCTCATTATTCAATTTAATATTTACAACACTTTAAGAGTCCAAACCTCTTCCTTCATCAGTCACAAGTGGTGGTTTAGGGAACAGACAAGTTTAACGATGTGCCATGATCCTTATATTATTTGATACAAGGTTAATTCATTCCTTCTTGCTTAAATCCGGATGGGTAGGGGATGGGTAGCGCTACACTATAGATGAAGTTAGCTCCTGACAAGAGTTTCTAAGCATTCTAACAAAAATAAACAATGCAACTAACTCATATCAACTAAAGATAACATGCAAACTAACTCATCCAAACCTATGCACTGTAGTATACCAGCATGGTTAATGGGGGCATAATATGCAATCCAGCGCATAACAGGTTGCATGAGCCATAATTGTATTAGGGGCATATTGTATAAGCATAAACAAATCTAAATATCAAATGCAAAAGAAAAATAAAGTATGAAATACTTGACTATTAAAATGAATGCTTGCAGCATAACATATCAAATATTGATAAAATCATTTTTCATGTTATGTCTCCATCTTGTTTCTTTCTCCTGAACAGATGGGGTTGAACATCCAAGTTATGGCTAGCAAAAGGTCAATCCCAATTTGTTGACGTCTTTAGACAGATGATAGGAAGATTGTCAATCGTCATTAACCTTATTTCTTAGTAAAATACTGGGCTATTCTCATTTTGCACTTAAAATTGAATATGTGCAACATTCATAGAACCACAGAATAGCAGTGTAAATAGTTCTTACTGAAATAAGATTCTCATAGACACCAAGGTCATATGGATGATGATAGATATCTCCACCTTTTTCTGCCAACCACATTGCTTGAACTCCTTCATGGTACTGCAAGCCATTAATAACAATCTTGTCAAAACTTCTATAAACAAGAGTACTGTCCGATATAAAGAGAAAAATCTTAAGTCACAAACCTCAATTGTAGTTTTATTCTGTAATATGAGGTAAATATGCCAACCCAAGAGCACTGCCAATGCTAACGCTAATGGAGAAAGAATGACCCCACAGATAATCTGCCAATTTGATAAGTTCCTCAAAATTATTATTCAAAGGGAATTCCTGGCGATCATTCAGATTAACATACAACAAGCTAGCAACTTCTGTAGCATTCCCAGAGTACCCACAATGGATGTTCGAGAAGAATCGCTGCCTGGCTGCTCATCTTTAGGAACACTGTGCAAAACGCTCCCTATGATCAGAATCTGATATCAAAATGAAACTTTGTAATGCACTAAGCCTCAGGAAACGTGGTTGCTAGAGTAAATCAAAGAAACTCAATTACCAATGCATAGAAGCTTGCAACCACAGCATACAATACAAAGACCAAGAAAATCTTGTAGTTCCCATGTCTGCGCATGTGAATTAGGTGAAAATACGAAATTGGAGAGCAGGAGAGCAGTTAGAAGAATGGAATCACAGAATTAACACTAGCAGCACCATTTTTAGAACACATCTCTTGCAAACATGGCAATGGTGTGCACGTGGAGGTTTATATTGGCAACATTTCTGGCAATATCTCGAGTCACCACCCTGCAAAAGTAGAGATGTTGTGAAACATACTAATGAGAAACTACTTTTGTCAGATACAAGCAAGAAAGTCTAACACAGTGATGGGCTGGCCCATGATTTTTCCAAATTAAAAGAATGTGCTCAACTCAGCTTACCCTCTCCCTTCCTCATCTTTTCTATGACAAACTAATATGGCACTGTAGTGAGCATTCACTTTGAAGTTACTGAAGCTAGAAACGAGCAATCATCTACTAAGGGCCTGTTTGGCAGAGGAGCTCTGCCATCTAGGAGAAGCTCTGCCAAATAGTTTTTACTGAGAAGTGATTCTGTGAAGTGATTCTCTGAAATGAACTAAGAGGTTGTGAGTTGAAAAAAGTAGCTCCTCCTGATTACTCCACGCACACGCAGAGTCATAGAGAAACAGAGTTTATCCTAGAGAATCATAGAGAAACATTTTTAACCAGAGGATCACTTCTCTCAGAGAATCTGGAGTACGAGCTCTACCAAAAAGGCCCTAATAATCTAGAGAACAAATCAAAATCAACTTATGGGCCGTTTGGATCCCTTCATTTTGGAGGAATTGAAATCTACTTAATGGATTAGGCTATTTGGCTTGGAATTTGAGATTCCACAACTTTCCAAAGTTCACATATAAGCCTATCTCAAATTCATAGGGTGGGAGATAGAAATCGATTCTATAGATCACCATGCTATGTTTCTAATCTGCAACTTATAGCACGTTCTTCAACTCGCTTCCCTATAGTAGAAATGCAAAATATAAGCATCTCCCTTGCATAGCTAACAATAGTATACAAATATATTCCATATACAACCATATTAGCTTAATTAATATGTGTCTAAATTATAATTTATTAGAATGAATTCAATTCCAAGGATCCAAACGGGGCCTAGGGAAATTAAAAAATCAGACTAGATCCACTCACTTGGTATAAAGTACTGACTCAACTCTCGAATCTAAATTATCTACTTGTAACACGTCCACCTACCAATGTCCCAGCTGTTAGTTGGAAATTCTAGAGCAGAACTATTTGTACCCAAAATGGTCCAAAATTATCAACCAAGGTGCATCTGAATCTCATTTGCTCAACTTTGAATAAGTTTCCTAAGTTTCAAATGGACGGTGGCAAATTTAGAATCAAAGGTATTCACCAAAACTATCCAAAATTACTAACCAAGCCGCATCAGAATCGCATTTTCTCATCTTTGAGTAAGGTTTCCCAAGTTTGAAACGAACGATAGGAAAATTTGAAGCAACAGATCAGAATCGCATTTTCTCATCTTTGAGTAGTAGGTTTCCCAAGTTTGAAACGAACGAACAGCGAACGGAGGCCCGCCCGCCGAACCCAGGCGAGCAACCCAGGCGAGCAAGAGATCGAGAGAGGGAGGGTGGGGCAACGCCAACGCCAACGCACCTTGCGCTTGATCTCGTGGACGGTGCTCTCGGCGTCCTCGACGTCGGGCACGAAGCCCGGCGGCACCCGCCCGGGGTCCCTGCGCACGGCGACGGCGTAGGTGGCGAGGCAAGCAGCTGCTAGCGCCGTGAACGCGGCGGCGTTGGCTACCCCCGCAGCCGTGGACAGGCCCAGCCACCGCGGCACGGCCACGAACACCGTGGTGTAGTAGACGTACCCGATCGCCGCGACCACGGAGAAGATCGGCAGGGTGAGGTACCCCGGCCGGCCCCCCATCGGGGCGGCGAGGCGAGCCCTAGGACTAGGGTTCTTCCGGCCAGCGGAGGCGCATCGGGACGCGTCCGAGCGCGGGGCAAGCGGGTCGGGCGCGCACGCGGCGTGCGCCCGTTTAAGACGCTCGCGCTCCCTAGTCTATTCCGCGGGCGGAAGGAGCAGCGGCTGGAGCTGGGAGGAGGCAGGCAGCGAGCGAGCAGAGCGTGGTAGCGGACGAGCGACCAGCCTGCCAGTGCGGGCTGATCTAGTCCGCCCTGGATCCTGGTGCTCGGTAGTGATTGTTGCAGCAGCAGCGGTGCTGCAGCCTGCAGCAAGTCAGCAACGCCAACACACCAACCGTTGCTGTTCATACCGGGTCTCATTGGTTAGTCACGTTAATTAATAACTTAATATTGCATTGCATCACGTTATGCAACATACTTTTAAATTGGACAAATCAATGCTATTAGATG